TTTCAATACGATATTCGGTTATACATCAATTTTCTTTTTATTATATTCTGAAGGAAATTTTGCATAATTTGGTGGCCCCCCCGGCAAACTTCTTACGAATCCCCAGGGGGCCACGCCCCCCCCTGTTAAGAAACACTGGTATAGAGGCAAAACCATTGGCATAGCCAGAGTTTTGTTATGGGGGCCTAGTAGAGGCCAACCTGACACAAAATTGAATTATTTCAAATTATTGCTCATTAAAATGAAATTTCCATAAGAATCGACAATAACTTAACACACAAAATATGAAACTTTTTTTAATCATATGTTCTCATAACATTAATATCAAACTCTAGCAATGCCTTAAACAAAAATTAACCAATCAATTATTTTTTTACCATTCTTTAATATAGTTCACCGTCTTTAATCTAGCTAGATATAGACCAAGGATGGTCAACAGTCTTTTCGTCTGGGCCGAATTGGAAAGAGAACTTTTTTTACTGCCCAAACCAGAGGCGGCTCTAGCAAGATTTTCATGTGATGCGAGATCTTATTGTGCCGTCAACCCGCAGAGAGACTAAACTGTACATAGAGATTACAGATACGCTTTTCACATTGGACACAGAAAGCCGTTGACCTTTTTATTTTTTTCTATAACTTTAAATTGTGAGGGTATAGGGAATTGCCGCAGATATCCATTCCAGCAATTATTTGAAGTTAAGCCCAATATTTAGAGATTAATTGCGTGCCACATAAATTCATTAAGTGGGCCGTATGTTGGCTGTACCTGATCTAGAGTTTTAGTGGGTATACTACACCCAATTAAATTAGCTTCAGTGTTTTATTTTTTTTTTGCAAATTGGCTCAACACTTTTTTGGCTGTAATTTTCTGGGGAGGGCACCAGGTTAACTGGGGGGCGTGCTCACCCATGCCCCTTCCTGGCTATGCCCATGGGCTAGACACTACTAATTTGAGGTGGAGAGTATATATTTTAAATTAAATAAATTAAAAATATGATTAAAAATTGCAGCCTGGCATTATAATGATGTCACAGTAAGTAATTGCTCATTGTTATTGAATTCATGGGGCCATGACAAACTTCATGTTATATATCAACTGATATTTTGCATTTACTGAACTTATTAACAAAATATCTTTCCTTGTCCAATGGACCACAGATCTACTTAGTTTCAATGTAGACTTTGCATAAACTAGTAACATATTAATTAGTGCAGTTTGACTGTATGTCTGAATAACATGCTCAAATAGTCTGTAAACATCCCTTTACTTTTTGGTTAATAGGGAAGGTGGAATCTTCCAGAAATGTCCAATAATATGAACAAAAAGACTGTAGAGAGGTGTTTCTAATATGTAAGATTTCAGTACCAGTGTAGAATCTAAGATAACTTTTAACAAAAAGTTCTAAACAGATGATGGAATGATCAAATGAAAATCTCAATGCAGGTGTTCTAGAGATATTTAAGCAGATAGAAAAAGCAAGATCCAAGAAGTTAAACCTAGTAAGAAATTCAACACCCTAAAAATAAAAAACTATCGAGTTTAAAAAAATAACTCTGAAGAATCCAACCAAGAAATAGCATAGCATTAGACTATGACAGAATCATGATACAAAAAAAGCAAAGCTTTTTTTGTATCATGATTGTCATATATAAAAAAAAATGAAAACTGTCATGATATAAAAAAAAATGCAACTATTTATCAGTGTTACAAAAAACGATTTATTTTGCACATAATTTTGACTATTATGTATATAACTGTCCTCTTTAGGCAATATTGTTCATAGAGAACAATGTTTGAATTCAAGAAATAGAACATTTGTGTGATGTAGCTTTTTGTATTAGTATTTGGCATCTATAGTTAGTTATATTTTATTACCACTGAAGATATGGAAGATATATCTTCACTCTGAAAATATTGTAGTGTGTAGTGATTATTGGTCTGATATTTTTATTGATATTAACTGTCCATGATCTGCAACCTACATATGAGGGAATTTCTGCTATTTCTGTTTTTTGGTCCTCTATATCTTTGCCATCATGAAAAATGATGCTGTGCCACTGCCAGAAGACATTAGATAAATTGAAATTGCACAGACTAGAATTTTGCTATAAGAAAGTATTTCTGTACCATATATAGATTTTTATCTCTTAATGGGGCATAAACCAAATGATAATCAAAGAAATTTTTGGAATATTCATTGTCAATATAAAATTCCTATATTCAAATGCTTTTACATTTATAGAAGAATTAAAAAACATTAAGAACATTGCTTCTTTTCTGATAAGAATGAAATACTGACAATAATCAAAATTGTGGTTGACTAATAGACTAGGAATATCTGGCATATCATGAAAAAGCCAGTTTTTAGTAATTATAAAAAAAATTATAATCATCATTAATAACAAAGTGAATGGAGACACTTTTTACAAAATGGGGACACTACTGAAATCATTTAAGGTATGAATCTATTTTTGTGTTATTGGAGGAATGGTAAGATGTAAATGAATCAAATCTCAGTGATTGTCACATTCCAAGTCAATATTGCCTTAGTTCAGACAAAGTACACTTGAAGTACTTGCATTGATATTGGCATGCCTAGCTTTCTTACAATCTGTAAACAGTATATCATTTGTTTGGCATTAGTCAATTTGGGCTTTACTGTTCCTATTGAATTTTTCTTTCTAATGATGTACATTTCTTACATTTCTGTTTGTATTTCCTTTGCAATTTCTTTGACACCATGAAAGTTTTCTTCAACTCAGCACACTTATCAGCTTATAACTTCACTCATTTTTATTTTATCAGTTATTATTGCTAAAAAATATTTTAGATCCTGTTATTCTCTCCAAATTGACATCAATTTCAATGAACTATCTCGTTCTTGGCCTCTGTGCTCTGAGTGGTAAGGGGCCTAAAACCACAAATAAAAAATAAAAAAAATCTATCTCTTTTCAATCTAATGTTACATGGTGCTGCCATTTTTAATGTTCATGCACAAGTGGTAATCCTTCCCTTCATTGCTGCATTCCTGTGCTACTCTCCATTTTAGATAAAGACATAAACTCACTATCCAACAAAATTTAAATAATTAGATTATTATTTATAGTTTGAGATATAAGTGTGACAAATCTTGAAATTTTTGATGGTTCAAGTTTTTATATAATGGAGTTAATTTAAAGATGTATTCACATCAAAAATTTAAGTGATCTTTTAATTCTATTACTAAGTTGACTGACTCATTGCCTTAGATATAAATGACAGAGCACTAGAAAGTTATGGGAAAGTTTTAAAAACTTGTATGTGAAGAAGTGTTTACAAAAAACGAAAAAAAAAAACAAAAATTATAACTAATATAAATTTTTATTTAAATAGAGTTTTACTTGCTGCAAGATCTAAAATCTTTAATCTCATCAAGTTACTTATTAAAATTAAAGTGTATTCATTAAATAATTATTTCAAATTATTTGATTATTTGATTGAACCAAGTATGTTTTATGCTTTTCCAGTTTAGGGCAGTCTTTTAGTAGACAAATTTGAACCAATAGTTATTCTATTTTAAGCAGGTGTTCCATATTAATTAATAGTTCTATCTCAGGACCTGCAGTGAGAATGGAATTGGGAAGACCTCCTTTGGCTGTTGGACTGTCGATAAAATTTTTTAGATTTTGGAGAAAACTTATTGACCTACCGAATGATGACTTTCAAAAGTTGATATATATAAGACTTTCACAGATAGATGGTAATTTTTTTTGAAGCTATGGCCTGCTATTGCTAAAGGATTACTAAGTAATATTGGATTGCCCTCTAGTTATATGTATTTAAGTGAAACTTTGTTCTTTTTGGATTGTGATCAATGATTAAGAGACTTGGCTAAAAGGTGTTCATCATTTGAGTGAAAGAGGTTGGAACAGTGAACTTTTTCTTAATGGAATGTGGAGTCCATCACCTTATTTACTGTCTAATTTGAGTTATAAAATAAAGTCATTTGCTGCACAATTTAAACTAAATAGGTTTTTGATAAACCTAAATGGTAAAATAATTAATATCTTATGTGACTCCGAATGTTCTTTTATGGAACAACAGCAATGGATATGAGCAAACACCTTGAATCTTGCAATATTCTTTTGGCTGTTTGAGTTGCTATACTGCCATCTGATTTTTGTTACCAAATTTTATTTGGTGATAGTTTTGCAATGCTAAACTTTGTATAAATTATATAATTTCTTTGTTCATGTATCAAACTTAAAATAACAAATTTTTTTAATCCCCTTTGTAATAACACTTGTTATATCAAATAAAGATTGATTGATTGATAAATTTTTATCTTCTTAATTTTAATTTTTTAACGTTACTTAAATTTCATGTTAAAACATATGTAACTGTATTCTAATATTTGAATTTTCAAAATATTCTGTTGTAAAAGATTCTACATTTGAATGTTTGAAATGTTATGTTTAAATAGCTAAAAGTGGTTTGTAAATTTGTGAAGAGCTTTAACAGAGTAATTTCAAGCATAAATTCAAAAATTCTCCATTAAAGCATTTTGAATATATACTCAAAAACAGTTTTTGTGAGTTTATGTTCAAAAACATTTGGAAGTTTTTGAGATATTTGTTTCATTAAAGCATTTTACAAATTTTTAATTGCATTTTCTGATTAATTTTGCATATTATGACATTACTGGCTAAAAAATTATTAGAACTTAACAAGTCAATTGAAAAGTTAATCTCAGCTAAACAATTTTTGGGTTCAAAACTCATTTTCAGAATGAAAATTTTAAAATATTTTTGAACTAAATATTCCAAAAGAAAATTACAGTTTACTGAATCTGATATTAGTTTTATTTTGTTGGTTGTATTTATTTGCTCTAAAAAAGCAACTATGAAGCATATTTGAAAAGCAAAAGACTGACTTAGTCTTTTTCCAGCACTTAATTTTCTATTTATGCATATAATTCATATATAATTTTATTGAAGATTATATTTTTAAATATTTACAGATTGAAGGCGTCTACAGTAATGCAAGGTTCATGCATGCTGCTGCTTCATTAGTGGTAAATATTAATAGTAATTATATTATATTACATTGAGCAAGTAATTTAAGTTTAGCATTATTTATTCAATAAATTGGTCATTAATGATTATAATAATAATAAACCTTAAACTTTAATAAAAACATATATATGACACTATAGAAATCTGCAATATTGAACATGTGTCACATAGTTAGGAAGTTTCTACACATGGACACATACTCCAATAACACAGAAGCTTAATGTGTAATATCCATTGAGTTTATCACAAAAGCCTAATGTTACACTTGTTTGGGCAGTTATGCCTTGACTTTATTAATTCAGCATTGCACTTAGCATCAGTATCAGCTGAGCATGATATTTGCAACATAATAATTTCCAGCCACATGAATTTCTTAAATTATATTTATCTTTATTATTAATTAAATTTTTTAAGTTTTGCATAATATATTTTAATCTATTTATTTTTATTATGAACAATTGGAATATATATCCTGTTAAATTATTGACATCATTAAATGATAATAAGTTTATTAGATTTTCAAAGAATTTTTTATGTATAAAATTATTTTATATGTAGAAAATAGTAAGAAAACACTATTCAAATTATTATTTTTTAATACAATTTTATTGTTTTAAGTGAATGTAGAAACATAATGTAATTTGAATAAAATATAAAAATGTAGCAGAGACGTTAATAGTAGTGCAGATTGTCAAATGACAGTTATTAGACAACAAATTTGCTCTACTGATCTTTTTACAACTACTATAAAATTCTCCTGTCTGAGCAAAGCTGAGCTAACCTAATGTAACTTGATCAGACAAAAAAATTAACACACGTAAACTGGAACGATATACTACAAACAACAATTAACACCTCAATACTACTTCCAGCAGTCAAAAGATTTTAATATTCTAACGTTTTCGGCCGTCTTTTAGAGGCCCTCTTCAGGATGAAACATTAAAAAACAGTTCTATCTTTTGAAGGATTCTAATAATCGAATACAGCTGTGTTCCCTGGGAACACAGCTGTATTCGATTATTAGAATCCTTCAAAAGATAGAACTGTTTTTTAATGTTTCATCCTGAAGAGGGCCTCTAAAAGACGGCCGAAAACGTTAGATTATTAAAATCTTTTGACTGCTGGAAGTAGTATTGAGGTGTTAATTGTTGTTTGTAGTAACTTGATTTGATAACTATTGAAAATTTTTATAATGCCATCTTGTGAAAATCATTCAGAAATAACTTAATACAAATTTTGAACTTTTAAACATTGGTTTATATAAAGGGTTGCCAAACCATGTTGTAATAGAAGTCATATATCATCTGCCAAAGTTACATGAGAGTCATGTCATCTGTTGGAACAGTATTTTATATTATATATAGTTAAAATGCTATAGTTATCATAGTTCTGTACTATTTTATGACTGGATAGATAAATGTTTAAATCCTTCAACTTTATTTATTTATTTATTACAATTACTTTGACTATACCCTTAGCATTCAGTTATCTGTTCAAGGTTAAGTTTTTAGCTGTGTGTATATCACACTACATAATAGTCAGTGAACTTATATATATATACATACAGTACAGCGTCGATTATCCAAATCAATTGGGGACTGGGGTTGTTCGGATAACCTATTATGTACGAAAAAACATATTAACCTATCCCGTGTTGAAATTTTTCTCCGTTGCGTGTCGCTTCGCGTTGAATTTTCGTCGATGTTAAGCCTAACATAAACTTTTTAAAATAATAATCGTGACTATTGTATCGTTAAAAATTATTCCTTTTTTTTGTACAAGCAAAATAAATATATTGAAAAATATAAAAACAGTAAAAAATTATACTTCAGAAGTTAATTTAGTATCAAAAACGTAAAATATTTGAGTATCCCAAGACATAGCCAAAGATTGCAGCGCCACAGCACTGGCGAAAATTTAAATTTGCCAACTGGAATTCTTTCGGATAATTGACTTTCGGATAATCGACGCTCTACTGTATATAACTCATTATAAACTTGTTGTGTGCGTGTGTGTGTGTGTGTGTGACAAGTTTATAATAAGAAATTGTATAAATATACAAGAATCACTATAAGAATCTAGAAGAACTAGATGCAATTGCAACTTGCAAACTTTGGTTTAGCCACTGTTGGCTTATGTGTATTTTCTAATTTTTCATAAGCCAATGTTTAAAAATTAGAATTCAAAATTTACATTTTAAGACCTACAACAGGAATGGAAACCTTTTTGATTCCACATACGTAGCTTTAAAGATGTTTATTCATGCCAAAGGTTTAAACTTCAAATAATGATATTTAAATAAATTAAATGAATATGCTTTAACTAGAATTAATGTAAAAAAGCTGATTGAAAAAAGGATGATCAGGTGATACACCGAAAGGATGATTGTAAAAGACAGATGATAAATTGAAATGATACGATACATTTTATGCCAGATGATTTTTCCTTATGTGCCACTTTGGATATGCTTGCTATAGGTTCACCACCCATCCTACAATATTATTAAAACTTTTAATTTAAAACATAATTTGAAATGTTAATTTTGTGTTAACTTTTTATTAAATACAGTGGGTGATCGGTTAACAAACATAATCCATTCTAAGTCTTTGTTCGCTATCTGAATTGTTCATTAACCGATTATCGATTTACCATAGGTTTCTATGGGAATTTGATTAATTCATTCTGAAGACCCCAAAAAAATAAAAAATATATACTTTCTTACCACATTTATTCACGTGTAATAATAAAAATACATATATACACGGTCTTGCATTTTTATTAGTCATGTTTTTTTCCGTTTGTGGGGGTTAAAGAATCTGTCCAATGTTGATTGCTTTTCTGTCTTCTTCATGATTTTTCAGAAGTAATTAATAGCATTGTAATTGTAGAGATCCCTAGGACTATTAACCTCAACCTGGTTTGGATGCCATTTTAAGACCGTTGTTCTGACATCCTCCCACTTCTTCAAAAAACCTTTAATAGCAGATATCGGCATAAATCTGCATTTTCAGAAGAAAACGTAAAAGAATTGTTTTTGTCAGAAATATAAAAGGCTGGAATTACAAGGGAGAGTTTCAAAGTTTGGGGGAATACTATTCGATCAGTATATACTGGGTAAAATGTCGATGTCGACGTCTCCCGTGCTCCAAAAAGTTTTGAATTGTTGCCTGAAGAGAAAGGAAGACCAATCGGTATTCGTTATTTTACGTGGCTTCTTCTTGTGTTTGTTCAGTGAAGTGTTTGTTGTCCGATCATAAAAATCTTACACGAAAATGTTCGTTATCCAATTTGTTTGTTAACTTATCTGTTCATTAACTGATCACCCACTGTATTTTGGAAAATGCACAAATGCACAAAACAGACTATTTGGTTTGATTTATTTAGTTACAGCAACATGACACATGAGCAATATGCCAAGGAGAGTGCCTCCCAAGAGAATTTATAAGGGATCCTATTTAGATGTTATTAATGTGAATAAAATCTGGAAAACTCCACATGGCCAGCCCATTGGCGAGATATGAACCCATGACCAACTATCAGGGTGCGTTTACTTCTGAGTTAGCAGTGCTAATTCTGATAACCGGATGTGACGTCATTAGCACGTGTATTCGTGCTTGCTTGTCCAATTCGAAAGTGAACACATACGCTAACAAGAAATATGGCTGGAAACCGTCATATTTCTTGTTAACGTATGTGTTCACTTTCGAATTGGACAAGCAAGCACGAATACACGTGCTAATGACGTCACATCCGGTTATCAGAATTAGCACTGCTAACTCAGAAGTAAACGCACCTTCAGTGTTCAGTGATTTTATCCACTCAGCCACTGGTGAGCACAAAACTTAGAAGAAAGACACAACTGTGTTTATCATAAAAAGTGCTACAGTTTGATTCAGGATGTCAAGAGAAATTGGACTTGTGTCTTATTAATAGTTTTGGCCTGTCACATACTCATATAATAATATAATAATAATGTTGAAAATGTCATGCTCAGCTGATACTGGTGCCAAGTACTATGCCAGACTAAAGTCAAGGCATAGCTACCCAAACTAGTGTAACATTAAGCTGTGTTATTGATGTATGTGTCAATGTTTAGAAACTTCCTAACAATGTGACATGTTAATTATTGTGGCTTTCTGTGGTGCCATATATGTTTTTATTAAGATTTAATGTTTCTAGACTTTTGTGTAGTGGTGTAATGTATGTAGTATAACATTGGTAGAAGAGAGGACCACAGGCAAAAGAGATACTCTATCTATACTTCACAGTTGCCTTATTTCTTGGGCAAGGGAGTGTACTTATTTATTTTTGCAGTGTGTGCATTTTTCATGTTATGAGTGTTTGGAATGGAGATGTCTGTTATGTAAGTGATTTTACTGCGTTTGTCAATGAAAGTGATGTCAGGTCTATTGTGATGAATTGTTTGATTTGTGATTATGGCTCTGTCATAGTATATTTTGTGTGCCATTTTCTAATACTGCCTATAGAGTATATTTGTAGTGTGATACCTGGATGTTTAATAATCTGTTTTTTTGTGCAAGTTCTTGGTGTGTTATATTTGCTACTTGATTATGCCTATGTAAATAGTCTGTTTGTGCTAAGAGTTTGCAACCAGATGTTATATTGTTTCTGGTAGAATGTAGCATTTTCTGCAAGAGTCATTTGTGAGTGATGTATTCTTCTGAATATGCTTTCTGTAGTTTTTAGTGTTTATGACCTGATCTTGAATGCAAAACATAAACCCCTCAGTCTCTCCAGACAACCCCTAGTTGGTTAATAGTTTGAAATAGTTTTTTTTTTTCAACATAATCCTAAGTCTGTAGTTTGTAAGAGATGATGAAGCTGAATCTGTGTGTGTCAGAAAATTAAGCAAATAAACAAATCTAATTATGTACAGAAATATACAGTTATATGTAACATGAAGAAAAGCGAAATGAGGGGAGATACCATGCCACACAGAGACATAGTAGACAAAACAAGACCAAAAAAAATGTAAAGC